TTATGCGTCGGGCGGCGGGCGGGACCCTAACGGGCGGGCGGGCGGCGGGTCGGTCGTGCGGGCGGGACATTAAAGCATGACGCATACTCGAGGTAGCACGCGCGTCACCCTAACGGGCGGACGGGCGACGGGTCGGGCGGGCGGACCCTAACGGGCGGGCGGGTCGCGCGCCGGGGGGGACCCTAACGGGCGGGCGGGCGGCGGGTCGGGCGGGCGGGACATGAAAGTATGACGCGTGATCGAAGTAGCACGCGTGTCATTGTGACGAGCGGGCGGCGCGTCGGGCGGGCGGACCCTAACGGACGGGCGGGTCGGGCGGCGGGCGGGACCCTAACGGGCCGGCGAGCGGCGGGTCGTGCGGGCGGAACATCAAAGTATGACGCATAATCGAGGTAGCACGCGTGTCACCCTAACGGGCGGACGGCGGGTCGGGCTACGACGACAAGGACGACGACGACGACGCCGACGACGACGACGACAACGACGACGACCACGACGACCACGACGACGACGACGACGACGACGACGACGACGACTCACACCCTAACATCTTAACACCCTAACATCCTAAAGCCGTAACACCCTAACACCCCAACACCCTAACACCCCAACACCCTATTACCCTGCCACCCTGCCACCCCAACGCCCGAAACGCCCTAACACCCTAACACCGCAACACCATAACTCCCTAACACCCGAACACCCTAACATCCTAACGCCCTAACACACTTACGCCCTAACACCCTAACACCTTAACCCCCTAACACCCTAACGCCCTAACACCCTAACACCGAACACCTTAACACCCTAACACGATAACACCATGACGCCCTAACACCGTAACGCCCGAACACCCGAACACTCTAACACAGGCCAGGTTCCGCAGAAGACTGTTTCCGCCGAAGGCCGGTTCCGCCGAAGACCAGTTCCGCCGAGCACCGGTTCCGCCGGTTCCGCCGAAGGCTGGTTCCACCCAGGGCCAGTTCCGCCGAAGCCCGGTTCCGCCGCGTCGGGCGGCGAGAGCGCCCCCGCTCGAGAGCACGCGACGGCGGAACAGGACTGGGCGGAACAGGACCAGCAGAACAGGACCAGGCGGAACAGGACCGGGCGGAACAGGACCGGGCGGAACAGGACCGGGCGGAACAGGACCTCGGCGGAACATGGCGGGCGGAACAGGACCGGCGGAATAGAACCTCGGCGGAAGAGCTCCGGTTCCTCGCATCGACCCCCAATCGCCCATTGATCGCCGATTGGGGCCCGATAACCCGGCCCGCTTGGGACCGTGCGGATTCGCCATCGGGGGCCTATCGTCGATCTATCGGTGATGCATCGCCTATTCCAGGTCGACGCTTCCCTCCCTGAGCCGGTCTCCCCCCAGCGTTGCCCCTCGCCTCCCTGCCTGCCTCGTGCCTCCTGCCTGCGTCTCTTCCCGCTCGCAAAGAATCCAACGGGCCCTGAGGTCTTTCGCCGCTTTGAGGCCCCCCTGGCGCTCCACGGGCTCCGCGGCAGTCCAGACACGAGATAGGATGAAGATATGTTAGCCAGCGTGGACCCCAAACAGTAAGTTACTGGTCGCCACAAGGGGGATGCCATTGTAAAGCCGCCGCACAAGAAGGCTCTGGCCAGCAGAACGCATGGTAGGAAAGCAGGAAAAGATGCTTCCATCCCTGAAAGCAGGAAAGCCAGAGAAGCATGTGATTGTCATACTGTTATTGTTTCCCGTTTTTGTATGTGAAAGCACAGTCTAGTCACAACCTGAGCCTCGTATGGGAGGTTCCACCAACATACGCGCGAACGGGACCCTGCAACTCCCCAGTTCGACCCCTGTGGAAGGCCCAAACGCAATGCCCGCTACATCGCAGTGTGAATTGGGCTATGAAAAACGGACTTCTCTCTCCGAAAACAAGGGTCTCTCCCGAGAGATCCCACCAATCTGGGCGCGAACCAGCCTTTGCGACACCTCAAGTCGACCCCCGTTTGGGAAGCCCGCGGGCCATGCTTGCTACATTACGGTGATCATGGTGCTGTGAAGAGAAACGTCTTTCCCCGAAAGCAGCATTCTACATCCAGGGCCCACCAATCGGGACGAGAACGCGCCCGTTCAACACCCCAGGTCGACCCATTCTTGGGTGGTCAAAAGGCAGTACTCGCTACATCGCGACGGTAAGAGGGACACTGAAAGGAGACACGCGTCTCCCCGAAAACAGACGCTCGACCTGAGAGGCACCAATCTGAGTGCGGGTTAGCCCGTGCAACACCCCAGGTCGACCTCCCCTCGGGACGCCCAAAAGCAGTGGCCACATCGCGACGGCCATGGGGTTCTGACAAGAGAAGGAAAAGCTGCATAAACACAATTTTTCGGAGCTCCGTGCGGATTTGTGAGATCGGCAATGGGCCCCCTGGGCTGGGAGGGGGTCCAGCGCCGATCCGAGAAATCCGCGCGGACCTCCGAGAAAGGATGTCTGTGCCGCTGGACGCTTCTCCAGGACAGGAGAGGCGTGCCTCCGCGGAGGCAGGGCGTTCTTCCCGAGGTCTTTTCATCCATCTGTGTGCGAGCTGGCCCGTGCAGCACGCCGGGCCGGCCCCCCTTGCGGCGAGCATGCGAGGTCCCGCCAACGCGGGCGCGAACGAGCCGTGCAACATCGGCCCTTCCTGGGGGCGCCGAGGGCTGTGCCTGCCACATCACGATGGTCACTGGGAGTCTGAACATGGCTAAGTCTGTGCATGAGCGAGTCTGTGGAGCGCGTATGAGTATGAATGGGTCGGAGTGTGAGTGAGTCTGAGTATGAGTGAAGTTGCTACATGTGAACTCTAATAAAAAATGAATATGACCTGGCGTGCATCTCAGCAAATAAGTCTGAGTGTGCAAGATACGGAGATGGAGTAAAACCGTAAATATGAGCGAAAACGAGTTTGAGTGATTCTGAATATGAGAGAGTTAAGGGATAGGGACGAGGCAGGTGGGTGGGCGAATGAAGGAGCCAGAAGCGTGACACGATTAGCAGGAGCGCTATACTTAGGATGCGCGGGCATTACCAATGGACGTACCCAATCCACCTGCAACAAGTGGCACTGTCAACGGGTTCAGCAAAGACGCATGAACATGTCAAAGGGTGGCGCGCCCCTTCTGAGAGCTGCATGGGGAGCGTCTGCATTGCGCGCACCAAGTAAGCTAGATGAGGCGATGCCAGAGGATGGCGAATCGAAGGCATAAAACGCCACTCAACTGGACCTCCCCTGACGCCCACGAAGGTTGCGAAATTGCGCGCTTGGCAGCGACCAGGGAAGGGAGGTCGCGCCCGTTCAGCGTATTACGTCCATCCGCCGAACCTCCCTGGAACGCACACAAGGCAAAACAAAGAAAACCCAAAAACGAATACGACGGTTACGCGTCTGACAGCGACCAGGCGGGGGAGGTACGGCACGATCCGCGCAAGATGCCGCTCCGCGGATCCGCGCAAGACGGCACCCGGCTGGACCGCATGGGCGAACAAAACGCGGCGACGGTTGCGCGCCTGGTCGCACCCAGGGAAGGCGTGGCTTCGCTCGATGTACGCAAGACGCCATTCGGCTGGAGCCCCCAGGAGCGCAGCAGTGTGGCTGCAGCTGCGCGCCCGGTAGCACCCAGGGAGGGCGAGGTCTGGCGCGCAGCTGGCAGCGCCTGGGTGGTCGAGATTTTGCTTGGCCTGCGTAAAACAGCACCCCGCTTGACCTCCCAGAAGCTCACGGAAGCGCCAGCAGCAGCCTCAGTTGGCAGCGCTCACGGGGGAGGATGTCTCGCTGACATGCGTTCAGTCAAGACGCTGGATATGGACCACTTTGGGCTCAGGAGGGGCTTGGTTGGGGAACCCATTCGAAGCCGAGGCTCGCCGTGGCCAGGAAAGCCCCTTTCGTCAGCACGATGGTTGTATGACGCCAGCACGCCAGAGAGAGCTATCCGGAGCCCACGACGGTTGCGCAGAGGGCTGAATCCGCGGAGGGCGAGGTCTCGTTTGCACTCGCACAGGACGGCACCCCGCTGGACCTCCAAGGAGCTCACAATGGCGGCGACAACTGCGCAGTTGGCACCACTTTTGGAGAGAGTTGTCTCGATGAAGTGCGTATGACATCACTCTTCTGGACCTCGCAGGAGCTCACGCAGGTAAATGGTGCAGGTGGCAGCACCCAAAGAGGGTGGGCTCCCGCTTGCTTCTGCGCGGGACAGCAGCCCAGCGGCCCCCCAGGAGCTCACGCCAGTAGCAACAGTTGCGCAACTAGTGCTTCCCAGGCAGGGCGAGGCCCCACTTGGATCCCCGTAGGACTTCACTCCGTCCCAGGCCTCCCAGGAGCTCACGAAAGTGGCGACAGTTGCACAGCGGGCAGCACTTGCCAGCGCTCAGGAGGCGAGGAGGCAGGAGGGCAGGAGGGCAGGAGGAGGCGGGAGGGAGCTGGGAGGCGGGAGCAATAGTGCTCTGCTCGGAACGACGGCCCGAACAGGGAGGGCTGCGAACATCCAGGAACGACAAGAATCTCACAGCCCCAGGAGTCTCACGCTGGAACTGGCCATCCCAGCGACAGCGACGAGGACGCCTGGTGGTGTTCGCGTCAGATGTTTGGCTTCCGATGGCCCTTCGGGATGGTCCGGGAACCCCATGAAAGCCGTCGAGGAGGCGCTGCTGGTGGAGAGCATCCCGAGGCTGGAAAACCGCCGAGAGCTCAAACAAAAAAAGAAATTTGCGGGTCTCGATCCCGAGAAAGTCCTGCCGTTTTCGGCGACGGCGACGAGGGTGGCGGCGATGGCGATCACGATGGGCGGTGGCGACGAAGAATGTACATTTGACGAACGGTGATCGTCAGGAGTCTTGGGAGCTCGCTGCTCCTGGGTCGCGTTTACGGGGCCCTGGTGCTGATGCGCAGTAATGGGAAAACAAAAACAAAAATTATGGGCGGTGGCGACGACAACGGGGGACGGAGCCGCCATCAGCTCCCAGGCCGGCCTCCCCCGAGAGAACGCCCGACAGGTGTGCAAGGACAGGAAGAAGGCCGTGCTCTTCCGGCCGTGCCTCCACGCGCGCTCCGCCCCGCCCCCGGGGCAGAGCGGACGACGACGGCGGCCGCGGCTTTACCAGAGCCGTGCACCCCCCCCCCGCCCCGCCCCCCATTACCCCCCTTAAGAAAAAAACGCGACGGGCAGTGTTTTGCTCTTTTCGGCCTCTGGGGGCCCTCGCCGGGCCCCGGGAGCGTCAAGAAGCGGCTCGGGATGAAAAGCCGGTCCCCGGGAATGGGTCGAGATGTCTGGGGGTCGACGTCGTGAAAAAATCATAGGGAAAGGAGGGAGGAGGAAAGGGGGGAAGGTGGCGGAGAGGGGGCAGGCGGCGGAGACTTTGAAGGAGGACGAGGACGAACAGGAAGGGATCGGAGGACGGAGGGCGGAACGGAAACGAGGGGGCAAAGGAGGGAGAGTGGAAGAGGAGGCGGGGACGGGAGCGAGGAAGAGGAGGGGGGGACGAGGAGGAGGAGAGGCGAGGAGCGATAGAGAATAGGGGGAAAAGGCAAACTAGGAACGCTCGCGTCACCTCTGATATCCTACCCTTGCCACCTCCCCCTTCATTGCGTTGAATATGTTTCTATCCACCGAGCGGGGTGTCCTGGAAGGCCTGCACCTTCAAATGGCAATCGAAGAACTTGACCCATCGTCTGTCGCACAATCGGCTAGGAAGGCCTTTTGCACAGTGAAGAGGTAAGTCAAGAGTGAGGATGAGGAAAACGAGCAGGGGCAGGAGGCAGTGGCAGGTGGAGGATGGGAAGGAGGGGGCGGCTGGGACGAAAGCGCCATTCCGAACAACGGAAGCAAAGCTTCTCTTCAGAAATGAAGCCAACGTTGAAGCGATTTTAGCATTTTCTCTGACCGATCGACAAAACCATGTTCACACACATTGTTTGACACATTGTGTGTGAAGCAATACGCGGGAGAGGCGGGAGGTTGGTTGGATATTGTCAGCGCAGGGGGGAGAAGAGCAGGAGAGGAAGAGGAGCAGTGGAAACCCAAGACCCATTAACTATGTTGCAATAAACCCTACATCCTTCCTCCAAGTTTCCTCTTCACAGGGCCCTACAAGGGTTCATTTTCACTGAAGGAAGCCCCCCGTTGGAAAACAACCATATGCAAAATCCTGAACTGCTTCATAACACCAGTCCTAGGATTTCAACGCCGCGAACCACCGTTACTGTTCCGCCGTGACGATCCTGAACTTGCCCGAACACCATTTCTGGGACGTCAACACCACGAATCAGCATAACCGCTGCGCCCTGACATGACAGTCCGACATATGGCCAAAACATTATTGCTGGGACGCTACCCATGATAATGTTTTAAAGTGCTGCAAACACTTAAAACGAATGTGCGCGGCGCGAAGGCGAAAGCCACATGTTGCAAAGGAACCGCTCTCCACCCAGTCCGCCCGTGGGACTGTTGCGACTACTTAAGACGAGTGCACGCGGCGCTAGGGCGGGAGCCACATTTTGACAACGGCCCGCCCTCAAGCCGCGAAACTGCTGCAACTGCTAAAGACGAAAGCACGCGGCACTGGGGCGAGAGCCACATTTTGAAAACGGCCCGCCCTCCATCCGTGAAACTGTTGCAACATTTACGACGAATGCGCACGGCGCTAAGGCGAGCGCCACATTTTGAAAACGGGCCGCCCGCCGCCCGTGAAACTGTTGCAGATTCAAGTTTCACGGTCAGAAACAGTAAGGAAGTGTCAGACGAAACGCCCGGCCCGCGCGACAGGGAAGAGTTATTGATAAGGAAAAAGAACGGAGGAGGAGGAGGAGGAGGAGGAGCAGCAGCAGCAACAGCAGCAGTAGCAGCAGCAGCTTCGCCATCGGATAAATCTCCCTTCCGTCCTTCGAGGCGTCTCGGGGCAACGCAGTTCCGAGGCAAAGCGCAGGCGAGGAGGGGGGAACACGGAGAGGGAGAGAGGGAGGGAGGGAGGAAGGGAGGAAGGAGGAGGAGGAGGAGGAGAACGAGGAGGAGAAGGAGGAGGAGGAGGAGGAGGAAGGCCGCGCAATCTACCATCCCCCTCCCTGCTTCCTTCTATATCTTTCTATCCCTCCGACTGCCCGCCCTTGCATCCCTCTTTCCCTCCCCATCTCCTCTCCCTGCTCGCCCTCTTCAAGGCTGATAGGTGGCTCCCCAGCGAGGCCCTGCGAAGCCGTTTCGCCCTGCGGCGGGCGCGACAGGGGCCGCGATCACGGGACGCCCCCACCGCCGAGGGAAGGCGCGAAAGCAGGCGCCGCCGATGGCCGAAGGCGAGAGCTCGTGTGCGCCCTCGGTCGGGAGAGGCGCCCAAGCAGCAGCCGACGGCGCGCGTGGCGGCGCCTGCGCTTGGCAACGTGCAGGCAAACGGAGCTGGACTTCAGCTGGTTCTTCAGCGCGCAGTGGCACTCTTGGGAGGCGAAGGTAGAGCCCGACGCCGTCCGTTGCAACGCAGAGATCAGAGCGGGCGAGGCAGCGACAACAGCAGAGGAACCGTGGCGGGGCTTGCAGTGGATGCAGGACTATGTGGACGAGGCAGAGGAGGCCAGGAAGGCCGCGGGGGCTAAGAAGGCAGAGGAGGCCAGGAAGGCCGAGAGGACAGAGCCCGAAGACACCAGCTACAGCACTGGCATAAGGACCAGCGCCTGCGAGAAGCTGGAGGCGAAGACAGAGCCCGACGCCATCAGCTACAGCGCGGGGCCAGCGCCAGCGCCAAGCCTTGGTCGGGCACTCAAGCGGAGTGGCGCCGCGGGAGGCTTCCTCCTGGGCACACGTGCTGGGGGGAGGCTCGTGGCCAGCGCCTGCGAGGAGCTGAAGGCGAGGACGGGGCCCCACCGCATCAGCTACACCGCTGGGATCAGGACGGGCGGGCCGCGCGAGAAGCGAGAGGCGAGGACAGAGTCGGACGCCGCCAGCTACAGCAGCGGGGAAAGGATCAGAGGCTGCGAGAAGCTGGAGGCGAGGACGGGGCCCAACATCATCAGCTACAGCGCTGGGATCATGACGGGCCGGCTACGCGAGAAGCGGGGGGCGAGGACACAGCCAGACGCCATCAGCTGCAGCGCCGGGGAAAGGACCTGCAACCGCGAGACACTGGAGACGAGGAGGGAGCCCAACATCATCAACTTCAGCGCCGGGATCAGGGCAGGCGGGCCATGCGAGAAGCATGAGGCGAGGACAGTGCCTAACATCATCGGCTACAGCGTTGGGATCGGGACAGGCGGGCCATGCGAGAGGCAGAAGACAAAGCTGGAACCCACTTACTCTAGCCACATGATTTGGAACTGCGCGTGCGAGAAGTGGGGGGCTACGCTGGAGCCAAACACCATCAGCTACAGCGCGGGGAACAGGGTGCGCGAGCAGGACGGGCAGCGGCAGCTCCGAGAGGGCGACGACGGGCAGTGGCAGCCTCAAGTGGACGGACAGTGGCAACCTTCGGCGGACGGGCAGCGGCACCAGAAGGCGAAGGACGAGCCCGGGAACAGCGCGCGCGAGAAGTGGGAGGCGAAGGTGGAGCCCGATACCATCAGCTACAGCGCTGGGACCAGGACGCGCGAGAAGGGGCAGGCGAAGCTAGAGCCCAATATCGACGTCGAGGAGTGGAGGAGGCCAGAACCGACAGAGGAAGGTGCTCGCTTATTTCTGGAAGGGGCCAGGGTCGTAGGCAGCCGATTCGCGGGCGAGGCGGCAACGACCAGGACGCGCGAGAAGGGGCAGGCGAAGCTAGAGCCCAACTTCGTCAGCTACGGCGCCGGGAGCAGCGCGCGCAAGGAGGAGCGCGGGAGAGGGATCAGCCAGGCGACGCGGGCAGCGCGGCGGGCCATCGCCAGCAAGCCGCCGCCGTACCAGTCGAGGCCCCGTTGCAGGGATGGAGGACCGTCCATTTTCAAAATGGGGCTCACGCCCCAGATTTCTTCAGAGTTCATGACCCACACGAAAGGCAGGCCCATGTGGTCGCCGTCCGGAGAGGGGGCGGCCCTCGCGGTGCAAAGGAAGGTCTGCCGCGCCCTACGAGGAGGGGACTTGGGATGGAAAGGTGTATGGCAGCATCGTTGATGCATCTTGAATTAACTCGGGTCCTCCTCCTCCCCCTCCTCTTCCTCTTCCTCCGTAGTCATTTTGGCTTAAGGATGCGACCCGCGAAGCGGTTGATTTGCCCCTTCCGCGTATTGCACTGAGCTTGATGATTCCATGGCGGCGGAGGCAAATGGTGTCGACGTGTCGTTCTTGGGGCTTCTATAAAAATGCCAATTAGAGTCAACAAGACTGGCGCAGACACCCTCAGTATAATTGTGAAAGTAGCATGGACGCGCACGGAAAACAAAAAACATCAGACTGACAAAAATCGAAGGATTTCCAGATTATCCTTGTGAGCTTGGTAACAAGTTTCCAGCAGGTGGCGGCGTAGAGTTCCACCAAACTTATACCGTTTCAGTGTTGTTGTAGGTATTAGAGCGAAAAGTGAACGATAAGGATAATACGCTTCGGATTGCGAGCGTTGACGAGAAGGTTACCGAAGAGAAGATGTTTATCACGAAGGGATGCGATAAGGAAGGCAACATAAAGGATACATGTGTCAACGCCTGCGAATCTAAGTATATGGGCAGACAGCTTCTCGCAAATATTGAGGATATTCGCTCTGATGCGTCCACGCAACTGATGAACAAGGGGGATGAGGAGCCAGTCGAGCGCATTGATCCGTAAGGGCTTCGCCCCCTGCCGCCGGCCCCCTCTTTCGGAGAATGGATATGGAAAAGCTTTGTTGTAAGGTCTGGGCGCCGTCGCAAAGCAGCGTCCGAACTCCGAACGGGGGCCACTGGAGATATTACCGTGCCGAAATCCGTCAAAATAACCGAATGAAAATCGCAGGTGTTGGCCTCTTGGGCCTTTCTCGGGGGTGCTCTTGGAACGCTTTTGGGGGCCTCCTGGGAGCCTCTTGGGCCGTCTTGGGACCAGCTTGGGCGCATTGTAGCATTCTTGGGCCGTCTCGGAGGCCTCTTGTGCCGTCTTGGGGGCCTTTTTACGAAGGATTGTAGCTCCGAAGCGCGAACGCTACGTACCTTGCAAGGAATTAGAATTTCGGGGGCGCGAAGAAGGTGTAATTTACGAGGAGTCGTGGCTTCGGGGACGAAAATACTTGTAATGTAAAAGAGAGTATTGCCTCGGAGACGCGAGCAATGATTAATTCACTTCGAATTCTGATTCCGGGAGCGCGAACACAACGTAATTTGCTAGGGTTTATGACTTCGGGGACGCGAACATCAAATAATCTACGATGGATGATGGCCTCGGGCGCGAGCATGGTGTAATTTACAAGGGAGTACGATTTCGGGGGCGCGAACCTCACTCACGTTTCTTTACCCCCCAGAAATCTTCAGAACCCCCCCCCCCAGGTAGTGGTAACCAGGGCCCGTTTCGGCTCCCGCTCCCCGCGCGGACTTCGACAAGTTACAGTCGGAAGCGGAAAGCAGGATTGCAACACGGGAGGCTGGAGAATGGAATTGGAGCCCAGAAAAGCAAGCCTAACCCGCGGAGATTGGTGACCCCACGACGGGGCTGGCGGAGGACAGCTGCAACCCGCACCGCGAGTAAACACGCGTTTGCCGACGGGAAAGTGTTTGTTTTGTTCCACTAGGCGTAGTATCCATTTCGAGTTGTTCTTCCTCCTCCTCCTCCTCCTCCTCCTCCTCCTCCTCCCCCTCCTCCTCCTCCTCCTCCTCCTCCTCCTCCTCTTCATCATCATCATCGTCGTCGTCATCATCGTCATCATCATCGTCAGCAGCAGCAGCATCTTCATGTTCGTAGTCATGTTCATACGCATGTTCTTCATCGCCATCAGCAGCAAGGGCATCATCAGCAGCAGCATTATCCTCATCATCCTCATCATCATCGTCGCCAGCACTACCATAATAATCATCATCGTCATCATCATCGTCATAATCAGCATCATCAATATCGCCATCATCATTAGCATAATCGTCATCAGCAGAAGTATCATGATCATCATCATCATCAGCAGCATCATCATCGTCATCCTCATCCTCACCTTCTTCATCATCATCATCAGCATCAGCAGCATCATCCTGATCATCCTCCGCCGTTCTTTGACATCCGACATCGTGATTGAGTTTATGACGTGGCTCCCCAGAGGTCTGGACCCTTTCCCGGGAAGCAGAGTCGTTGTTTGCCGTTCCCAGGGCCCAGCGAGGGTTCCCAGAGGCCGAACAGTATCAAAAACCGTCGGTCGTGTTTGTTCTTCTTCACGACGTGAGGATGGCCAGGGTCCTCATCCGCATCCTCCTCTTCCTCCTCTTCCTCCTCCTCCTCCTCCTCTTCCTCCTCTTCCTCCTCTTTCTCCTCTGCCTCCTCCTCCTCCTCCCTGCCGCCTGCGCGAGGTGTGCGTCTGCGAGACCTGTCGGACGAGGCTGCGGCCCTACAGGTGCCCCATATGCAAGGACGCGCGGCGTTGCGCCCGGCCTCCCTCGCGTCGCGCGCGCGCGCCCCCGGGGCGGGTCAGCGCGCACGCGCGAGGCGGGCTGGGGATCGGAGGCACGGGCGGCAGGAGAGCGGCAGCAGAGAGGCGAGGAGAGAAGAAGGGGAGAGATGAGGAGAGAGGGGTGAGGAGGAGGAGGAGGAGGAGGAGGAGGAGGAGGAGGAGGAGGAGGAGGAGGAGGAGGAGGAGGAGGAGGAGAGAGGGACGAGGAGGGGCAAGGACAAGAGGAGGAGGACGTGTATGCACTGATAGGCGGTTTTTTTCTTGGGCAGTTCATGACTCTGGTGGACGTGCGCAGACAGTTACCCGATACGGACCCAACCCTTTAAAACGCGAGGTGAATATAAGCAAGAGCGTTTGATACGAAAGAAAATATTGAAAAAACTGGTGCGCTCCTGAACGCTTCGTCACACAACTTCGGACCACATGCACACACACACACACACCACACACACATACACACACCACACACACACACACGCACACACACACACACACACACACACACACACACACACACGCGCACACACACACGCACACACACACACACACACACACACACACACACGCGCACACACACACACACACGCACACACACACACACACACACACACACACACGCGCGCGCGCGCACGTAGTCTCGCAACTCTGACCACAAAAGGGATGACAGCGACGAGCGCACCTCAGGGAGCCGCTCTAGTCTGGCTCAGCGTGCACATCGCAGAAGCCCACGAAAGTGGCGACCGTTGCGCAGGTGGTAGCACCCCCCGGGAGCCGCCAGGGCACTGAACCTCCCAGGAGCCCAAGAAAGTGGCGACAGATGCACATGTGGCAGCGCCGCGGGGAGCCGCGAGACCTACGCTGAATGTGCGTAAGACGCCACTCCGCGGGACCTCCCGCGAGCTCACGATCGTGTCGACCGTTGCGCAGGGCGCAACACCCTAAAGGAGCCGCAAGGTCTAGCCTGGGTGCGCGTAAGACACCAGCCACTCCGATGGGCCACCCCCAGGGGCGCGCGAGATCCCGTGCGGGTGCGTAAGACGTCACTCCGTTGGGCCTTCCTGGAGCCCAAGAAAGCGGCGACAGGTGCACAGGTGGGAGCATTGCCAAGGACGGCGAGGTTAGTCTATGTGTGCATAAGAAGCCACTCCGCTGGGCCTCCCAGGAGCCCACGAGAGTGGCGATAGTTGCGCCAAGGAAGCCACAAGGTTTAGTCTTGGCGTGCGTAAGATACCACTCCGTTTGGCCTCCGAGAAGCCCACGAAAGTGGCGACAGATGCACAGGTGGAAGCACCCCCAGGGACAGCGAGGTCTAGTCTGGGTGTGCGTGGGACGCCACTCCGCTGCCTCCCTCCCACTCCCCAGGAGCCAACGAAAGTGGCGACGGGTGCACAGGTGGAAGCACCCCAAAGGACGGCGAGGTCTACTCTGGACGAGCGTAAGACGCCATTCCATTGGGCCCCCCAGAAGCACACGAGAGTGGCGACAGTTGTACAGGTGGAAGCACTACCAGGGACGGCGAGGTCCAGTCTGGGTGTGAATCAGACGCCATTTCGTTGGGCATCCCAGGGGCCCACGAAAGTGGCGATTGCGCAGGTGGAAGCACCTCTGGGTCAACTCTGGATGCGCGTAAGACTCCACTTCTCTGGCCTTCCCAGGAGCCCACGAAAGTGGCGACAGTTGCATAATTAGCAGCACCCCAAGGGACGGCGAGGTTGAGCCTGGGTGTGTGTGAAGCGCCGCTCCGCTGGGCATCCCCAGAGCTCGCAAAAGTGGCGGCATTTCTCCAGGCGGAAGCACACCCAGGGACGGCTAGGTCTAGCCTGGGTGCGCGTCGTACGCCACTCTGCTGGACCTACCAGAAGCTAACGAAAGGAGCGAGTGGCGACAGTTGCGGGGGTGGCCGCACCCCAGGGAGCCGCGCATTGGGCGACAACAGGGAAGTAGTCAGCATGCAAGCAGGATGTATTAGGCGAAAAGGAGGAGGAGGAGGAGGAGGAGGAGGAGGAGGAGGGTGAAGGGAGGTTAGAGAACGCAGTGCCCTATTCAAAACGAGAACCCACGGCAGGAGGAAGGGAGGCAAGGAGTAAGAGGAAGAACACGAGGAAGAGGAGTAGGAGGAGGAGAAGGAGGAAGGAGAAGGGGGAGGAAGGAAAAAGAGGAAGCAGAAGAAAGGAGGAGGCGGGAGGAAGGAAGGAGGGAGACGCGCGAGCAGTGCTCTATTCAAAACGAGAACCCAACGCAGGAGGGCTGCTAAAACAAACAGTACTGGAACGGCATGTCTTTTTTGAGGGAGGGGACACAGCGAGGGAGGAGGAATGATAGACACCTGGAAAGGTCCTCCTCGTCCCTATCATCATGTCCTGCATCTTTGTTATGTTCCTTCAAGTTTCCTCCTCCTCCTCCTCCTCCTCCTCCTCCTCCTCCTCCTCCTCCTCCTCCTCCTCCCCCTCCTCCTCTTCCCCGTCCTTACTGCTGCTCCTCCTCCTCCCCGTTCTCCATGCCCCACGCCTTTGCCCAAATTATTCATCCTCGTGGCACCACCAGACGAGACGGTGGGATAAGCCAGGCGTCCCGTTCGTGATTTCCACATCACATGTGAACCTGAAGCTTGGAAAATTACGTTAACATATATAAGAAAGAGCGTGTTCTACCGCTACTGGCGGAAAACCGGAGGGGGTCACTACCGGTTCGAACCCCTCCCCCCCCCCCTCCCGGAAAACCGGGGGGGGTCACTACCGGTTCGAACCACTCCCCCCCCCACCCCCCGTTCATCATGAAAAGGGGGGGGTCACTACTGGTTCGACCCCCCCCCCCTCGAACTCGAAAACCGTGGGGGGTCACTACCCGTTCGAACCCCTCCCCCCCCCCCCTCGAAAACCGAGGGGAGGTGCGGACAGTGGTGGGGACCGTGGTGATGGGGGCAGTGGTGAGGGGACAGCGGGACAGTGGTGGGGACAGTGGGACAGTGGTGGGGACGGTAGTGGTGGGGACAATGGGAGGACAATGGTGGGAACAGTGAGGGCAGTGGGACAGTGGTGGGGACGGTGGTGGTGGGGACAGTGGTGTGGGGACTGGGGATGTGGTGGAAACAGTAGGACAGTGAAGGGTACAGTGGTGGTGGGGACAGTGGTGAAGGCGGTGGCGAGGACGGCGGTGGGACAATGGGACAGAGGTACAGTGGGGACAGTGGTGGGGACAGTGGGGACAGTGGTGGGAACAGCGGGACAGCTCAGTGGGACAGCGGAGGAGTCAGTGGGACAGTGGGGACAGTGGGGATAGTCGGGCAGTGGTTGGGGCCGTGGAGAAAGTTGGGAGAGTGGAGCCGTGGTGGGAACAGTGGGGGTGGGGACAGTGCGACAGTGGTGGTGGCACTGGTGGGGACAGCAGGGACGGTGGTGGAACCAGTGGGGACAGTGGTGGTGAGGACAGTGGTGCTGGGAACAACAGTGGGGGATGTGGTGAGGACGTTGGTAAGGACCGGGAGTCGTTTGCTGGCGGTGAGAGGGGGTGGGTGGGGAGGGGTTCGAACCGGTAGTGACCTCTGGTTTTCGAGTTCGAGGGGGGGGGGGTTCGAACCGACCCCCCCAGTTTTCCGGACGGGGGGGGGGGTTCGAACCGGTAGTGACCGCCCCCGGTTTTCCGCCAGCAGCGGGTAGAACCTCCGGTTTTCGAGGGGGGGGGGTCGAACAGGTAGTGCCCCCCTTCGGTTTTCCAGAGGGGTTGGGGGGGGGAGGGGTTAAGGGAGGGGGAGAGGTTTTGCCGGGGGAAGGGAGGGGGGGAAGGGGGGGGGGGTCCAGCAGGGGGGGTGGGGGATTTTCGGAGGGCGGGGGGGGGAGACCCCCGGGCTCCGGAGGAAAAGGGTAGCAATTTTCCACAGTAAAGCGGCGGTGGATCACGCTCTCTCATATATACGGATCGAGCACAGACAGCTTTCAACATGTTGCTTTCGCAGGGGTGCCACGCACATTCGTCTTAAAAGCGTCAGTAGCTACACTGGTAAACGATGGGTCGGTTTCAGCATGTGGCTCTCGCTTTGGCGCCGCGCAACTTCGTCTTCAGATGGTGCAACCGATACACAGACGAAGAGCGGTTCATTTTCGGAAGTCGGCTATCGCTAGAAGCCTCTTCAAATTACATGACAACGCTGCTACTCTCGTAAACTGCATTGCAAGGTTGCTACGCTCGTACATCCGACGCACGGATCAAGAGCACTCTCTTTTCCGAGCGGGAATATTGCTTGAGATGTCGCCCCGTAAAGTTGCGCAGCAGCTACACGGATGGGGGGCTCATGTTTGAAATCGGGTTGATTTTTGTGAACACGGCATAACTTGTTGAGCTGGCATGATGGTATGCAGCATAATTGAACGGTGGCCGATGGTTTCTCTCTTAGATGGGGATCCCGCATGAATTCCACGCCCATGAGTTCCTGGTCTATCAAGGGGGGCGTTTCCCGTAGTGAGAAGGAGTGCTCATAGGGAGTTGTGAAGAGGGGACTCGGGACGGGATGGTGCGCTGCAGCATCGTAGATGCATCTTGGGGTTCCTCTTCTTCTCCTCCTCCTCCTCCTCCTCCTCCTCCTCCTCCTCCTCCTCCTCCTCCTGCTCCTTTTCCTCCTCCTCCTCCTCATTCACTCTCATGGCACACGAAGGTTCATCCTGCAGCCACCCATCCTGCCCCGAGGCCCCCTCCAGGTGCCTCGGGGGAGGTAGAAAAAAATGGTCGCCCTCCCCGAACCATCCCCTAATCTTTCTCCCATCAACCTCCATACATCCCAAGCTAATCCCTGCCCCTCGGGGCCGCGAAATGCTTGCTGGCGCTCCGGTCGACGCAGTAGTATACCCATCCATGATACTGTTGTGGTGGACGTCATGTCGTTTTCAAGCATACTGCGTCGGGAGGGGTGGTGGTAGTAGAGGAGGGTGGGTGGTGGTCGTAGAGGTGGGTGGGAAGGGCGTCGGGGT